AGGGGGTCCAACCCGTTACTAGCGTGGTGTACCTAATAAAGTGGCCGGTGAGTGTATATTAGTGCCTATCATCATTCAGTAGTTACTAAACTCTTCCCCTAATGTAGATATAAATTAGTTTATTAAAGAGCAGTTTATAAATGTTTTGTTAACATTTGAGCTTTCTGTTAAAAAATTTTCTTAATTTTTTTATAAAGTAAAATACTGACGTTCATTTCTTCATAATTTTGCAATTATTGTATTTTCTTAAATACAGTTAATAATATATTTATTTGGTTTAAGTGAGGTTACAGCTTCAAAAGTCTGCAATCAGGGATTGTCAGTGCCAGCTGTGCCACCTGAAAGTGGGCGGAGCTTTCTCTTAGTTCTTTAACAGGTGCGACAGAAAGCCGGTCCGGTTCGGAGGTTTCTTTTGTGTCTGGTGCCTTGCATCATACAGCGGTTATGACTCAGAGGGACGGGCACAGACGGACCAGGAAGCTGGAGGAAGTCAGTGCAAACAGCCGACAAACATAAGACGCATTTATTAATGTTGGAGTAATAATAACCTCTGTCCGCAGTGCCGTCTGCTGTAYAAAGTACTTTTACTGACAGAAAGGAAACTGATATTTATTTTTAAACAAGCTGCTTTGTAAAAAGTTTGAGGAGAACGAGTCGAGGCATGAATATGAACCTGGAAGAGCAGGAAGACGAGCTGCTCGCCCTGGAGAGTATCTTTGATTCGGACGAGTTCGTCCGAAACGAGTTTTCCGGAGAAATCCGAGTGTCGCCAGATCTCCCTGTGGACTTTAACGTGGTGCTGAAACATGGTAAATATGCCGACTAAATGTGAGATTGATTTTTAACTGCAAATATATATTTGATACACAGTAGCTATTATAATCTATAGATACGTTTCTGTTTTTTCATCAACTCCAATTATCCTACATGTAGGATGAGGACCCTCATCATCTCATCATCATAAACTTTATTTTGGTCATTCCTGGGTGGTGCATGAAACCACCATTTTTTATTTTATACACATATCGTTTTTTATGACATTTATTTGAATATATTGTGTGATTATTTTCATTTCATTCATATTTCCTTACTAATTCATTGATGTTTTTTCTACTGCAACAAATGCTTAAATGTAACAGTTGTTTTTCTAACCATAAAACATTGTTATAGGCTATATTAGCACCTTTCTAACGTTTTCAACTCTTCCCTGTTTTAATAAAATTATTAATTCTGTCTTTTTTTCTCTATAAGGTGAAACACAAAGGCAGTATGTCATTTCTTTCCTTCCTCCCCTGCTTCTGACCTTTGAACTTCCGGTGGACTACCCCTCCTCCTCCCCTCCCTCCTTCACTCTCACCTGCACCTGGTTGACTCCCTCACAGGTAACGGGTCAAAGTGTGTGGGGTGTCATTCAAAAATTACCACTAATATTTTGTTTTATTTAGGCTTTTTTATAAGAAAAAAACAAACAATTAAAAAAACAGGTTTATTTTTCAAAGTTGGTTTTTCGCCGTTATATATACATTTAGAAATGTCATATTTACAAACTAAATATTTAAGTTAAATATTTAGTTAAAAGCTAAGTATTTAACTTGCAACTTTAAAAGTTTAGGTAAAAAGCTAAGTATTTAACTTGCAAGTTAAATGTTTTGAGCTTAATGTTTAGCTTGTTAACTAAATATTTAATTTGTAAGTTAAATGTTTAGTTTGTAAACTATGACATTTATAAATGTATGAATGGCGAAAAACCATCTTTGAAAAATAAACCTCTATTTTTTTTCCTTATGAAAGGCTAAATAAAGCAAAAAATATTGCTGGTAATTTTTAACTGTGTAACTTTACAAACGGCACCTCATAAAAGTGGCACAAATTCTTGAAGCGCTTTAAATAAATACTGTTATTGTTCTGTGTTTCAGCTGGCTTCTCTGAAGGCTCGGCTCATTGAGCTCCACCAGGCTACAGGGGGCGCTGTGGTGCTCTTCTCCTGGATTCAGTTTCTGAGAGAAGATGCCCTGAAGCTCCTGAACATTCAGAATCTGCTGGAGCTTCCCTCAGATCAAATCAGCTCCGTACCTGAAAAACGGGACCAACGAGACCCTGAACCAGAGGATAATTACACCCAAAAATCAGAACCTACAGATGTGTCTGATCTTTGTGGACCAGCTGACTGTATCCTGGTCAATTCTTCAGCTGCAGCCAAGAGCGCAGACACTCATGGAGCTGATCGAAATGATTTAACTTCCCCTTTTATCCAAAGCAGCCTAAATTCAGAGTTTACAGACCCAAAGGCTCTTACTTCTAATGACCTTTCTAAATCGGAGCTTCTTCCAAGTGTTGAGTCTGTTCAAATTAGTCAGGAAGACGGTTCTGCTTCAGCGTCAAGCTCCTCAAACCTACAGGGTCCGAGCGAGGCGACCCCTCGTCCGGTCCAGCCCAAAGCAATCTCTCTGAACAGCGGCGACATCGTCTCAGGGATCTCTTTAACACCGTCGCAGAAGCTCCTGTCCCAGATTCTGATCTATAACGCCGAGCAGAAGCGGAGGGCGTTCGCCACCACCGTGTTCGCCTGCGGCGTCTGTTACACGGACTGGCTCGGGTCCGAGTGCGTGCAGCTCTTCGAGTGTGGCCACGTCTTCTGCCGGGCCTGTCTCGGCGACTTCTGTAAAGTCCGCATCGCAGAGGGGAACGTCCGGGGCGTCGCCTGTCCCGAGGTGGGCTGCTCTGCGACCCCGACACCTGCACAGGTACGGTCGGGTGTTAAATGAAACGTAACCTTTTCAAATGAAGTAGAAGGGCAGAAAGTGTTTCATAACGTTTTGCTTCTCTAACTTGTTCATATTTTACACAGGTGAACAATCTTGTAGGWGAGGAGCTGTTCAGCAGATATGATCGTCTCCTCCTGCAGTCTACACTAGACCACATGTCTGGTGTGCCTTTTTTCCCCTTGTTTACAATGAATATCGGCATATTTATCATAAACTCTATTTCTCAATGATAATCATCTCTCTGTTCTCCCCTCGTCGTAGACGTGATGTACTGTCCTCGGAGTTCCTGTGCCTCTCCTGTAATTTCAGAAAAGTCCAGCGGTGTGGCCATATGCTCTGTGTGCAGCTTTGCTTTCTGCGTCGACTGCAAAAAGACCTACCATGGAAGCAACAAGTGTTACGAAGACAAGAGCAAGACAAAAGTGGAGGACTTTCTGAATTTTCCGCAAACAGAAGGTAAAGAATAATTTACAGTGTGTGCTGTACAGTAGGCTTAAACGCAGAAATCTAAGTAATATGTGTTCAAATCAGCTTCTCTGAATAATAAAAACATCTGTTAAAGAGTTGATGAAACTAAATATGAACTTTATCGCTTTAAAGGGGACATGTCCAAAATCCTTTTCTTCCTTTTTTTATTTAAAGTTATATTTTGTTGCAGACTTGGAGTCTCTAGTAGTGCAGAAAAGTTGACTTTCGTCTCTCCTGGTCCTTCAAATATATCTTTATATTCTGTTTGGATCAGATTTTTCAGCTCATTCAGTTTTCTCTATTTTCTATGACATTTTCTGAGTCTAATAAGTCAAATTATCTGTGCCGGAATTGCCAAATAAGGTCTGGACTTACCAACGACAATTTCCTCACCATAATTCTCCTCTGGTTCTGGGTCAGACTCTGGTTCTGGGTCAGACTCTGGCTCCGACATGTAACGCTGGATGAACAAGTCTTCTGTTGCTGACATCTTTTAATTAAATTGTAAATAAAATGTTTCTTCACTGCTAGATAACGTAACCCCCTCTCTCAAACCGGAGTGGACCGGTTTGGAAGCCGGAGGGGGCGGGGCTTGAAGTGTCTTAAAGGAAGAGTGACAAAACCAGTTTGAGGCACACACCAGAAAAAGGGTGAAAGAGGGGCTAGTGAAGTTAAAGTAAGAAGGAATTCAAACCAAAACATTGTAGTACCACTTTATAAAGACCCCAACTGAATGATTTAAATGTGAAAACCTTTTTAAAGTCACATCCTGCATTTAAATCCTTCTTTTTCACATTTAAATCATTCAGTCGGGGTCTTTATAAAGTGGAACTGCAACGCTTTGGTCTGAATTCCTCCTTATTGTAACTCCACAAGCCCCTCTTTCACCTCTTTTCTGAGGATCAACTCGTTTTTGAGGCTGTCTCTTTAAATCCAAATATGGCGCTTCACACCCCGCCCCCCTCCAGTCTCTCGACCGGTCCATTCCAGTTTGATAGAGGGGTTTATGATCATATATCCTTACATGTTGGAGCCAGAGTCCGACTCAGAGGAGAATGAAGACAACAAATTAAGTTCAGCCTTTATTTSGAAGTTCTGTCGCAAATAATTTAGTGTAAAAGTTCAGAAAACATAATTGAAAATGGAGAAAACKGAACGGGTTGTAAAATATGACTCGGAACAGAATATAAAGATGAAACAGCAGGAGAGACCAAATTAAACATTTCTGCAGCTTTTTAGAGACTCCAAGTACACAACAAAATGTATTTAATGGCTAAAGTAGATTTTACACGATCTATCCTCTTTAAACAATACAGCACGGTGGCAGTATTGCAGCAACTTTTCCACTTTCTCAGGGGTAAAACTTTCTTTAAAAATATCCATAAGTGTAAACACAAGCAGGATAAATCAGTCCATAATGCCACTCAAAGCACGAGAGTTCACTGTGTTTGGGTACAGATTTGTTTCTTTTTTTTCTTATGTCCCAGAGGGAATGAAGGCTCTTCTGGATGATTATTCTTCTGGCAGTAAGGAGAGGCGACGCCTTCTGAAGAGCAGATATGGACGGAAGATTCTGGATGGTCTCGAGTCAAATTTGAACGAGAAGTGGAAGTCTGAAAACACCAAAGCCTGCCCCCACTGYTTCTCCCCAATACAGGTCATTTATTACTTAATAAACTACACCAGAGAATATTTTATATGTTGGTTTTTTTTTGTGTGTTTTTGCTTCCCATCAACCTGCGATCTTGTGCTTTGTGATGCAGAAGGATGGTGGGTGTAACTTTATGCAGTGTACTTGGTGTCAGCATCCATTCTACTGGACCGACTGAGAAGTTTGGAGTCAGAAGCTTCCTTCAGACTTGGAAGTGGACGGAGACACGAGAGGGAAAACACTTGTCAAAATACATTGAAACTGATCTTTATGGTAACTATACGGAAACTTAACTATTTAATCAACAAAGCTTGAAAATGTGCACCTTTTTAAATTTATTTTTTGCACATAAAGGTACAATTCTCATAACTGTACCTGGTTTTAAATGCACTTTAGAAAATTGTTCTGATTATCTTTCTACTTGAAGCTTTAAAATAATTCACTTCTGTGAGATAAGCTGTCCCTAATGTTTTTAAAGATATAAAAATGTTTATAAAAGAGCTATATTTATTTAAACAAAAGTGTAGCAAAGCTGTCAAGTTTTGATTTTTTTTCTYTCTAAAACCTTTTGAAGGAATCAGCTTTTTAGTTCATCGTAATTATCAGCTATATAAAATACTATTTGAAAACAGGCCATTTGGGGATTTTAACGAGCAAAACTGTTTTATATTTAGAACCAGGCTTTATGAGAAGTGTATTGATCCAATATGAAATGTAAATTACAGTATAGATTCTGTTTTTGTTTGCTCAGTTTGTCTGTATAAACATCAGTCATGAAGTTTTTTAATGTTTTAGCTACAACAAAATTAAATTGCCCTTTCAAACATACAAACCTTCATAAAGTGCAGATTGATGCTTGGCGCTGTCAGCCCCGTAAAGGCTTTCAGTTAAATACTGTGAGCCTTTTGGAACTCTGTTTTAATGTGTCATGAACAGCAGATGGCACCAAAGAACTAAGTAAAGCTGTTTTTATGAGCTGTGCTCGAATAAAAGCAATTAATTCAAGTAAATAACCAATTGTTCATCTAATAAATAAGTGCTTGCTTGGATGAAATGCTCAAATGTCTTCTATACAGTCAAAAACATACATGATAATATGGGTACTGATACTTCGTAAACCGCTTTTTAAAAATATTTTACAATAGTTCTTTTGCAATTATAATGCTATTCAGCTTTAGGACAAAATACATGGAATACAGCTTTATCAAGTTAAATCTTTTGCACAGTCAGTGGCTAAAGCCTGTTGTATATTCAATTTCAAATCATTAAATTATATTTCAGTCTTGAAGTCAGATTATGAGTCTATAGCTGCTGTTGGGTGTTTGGCACCTCCTCACAGACTGACTTCCTGTTTTTCTAAAGTCCCCCCTCCCTTCCAGCTTCACTCTGTCACAACAGTGGAACAAAGTTCCCTGCTGCATGTCTCCTGGGCATGATCAGAAATCTACAGCTGTCGCTCATTCAAGCCAGCATGTTTTTCCTGTAGCTCGTCCAGTTTCCACACAAGGGTCATCACTTCTTTACAAAATGTCTAAACAACTGTTCCACACTAAGCCACAGTGCCATGTCTGGTCCTGGAGGACTGTGAACAAGGAACAAGGGCTGGACTGGATTTTTATGGGTTTTTTTTTTTTTTCAAACTTCTTTATGGTTCATCTGAGACAGAAACTACAAACCAAAATGTATACACAAGTTKTTGCAGATAAATTACATCACAAATATAGCATGCACAAAACTCACTATAAATTGTAAAAGCTAAAAAAGTAAGTTTGTAAATGCAACAAAAAATATTTGTCAAAGTTGCCGTAAAATATAAGCTGTAATAATGTCTGGGGGTGCATTTGTTTAAATTGATTTCATTTACACATTTTATTGATTTTCTTTTTTTTTAACACCTTAAGGCAGATCCTCATCAAAAACCTTATGAAGGGGACATATATAATGGAAAATCCAATTTTGTTTAAAAGCTGTTAAATACATTGTATTGTGTACTTTGGAGTCTCTAGGAGTGCAAAAAATTAGAATTTAGTTTCTCCCGGTGTTGCAAAGATACCTTTTTATATTCTGTTTGGTTCATATATTTCAGCCAGTTTAGTTTTCTCTATTGTCTAAGATATTTTCTGAGTCTAATGTATTACGTCAAATTATCTGTGACATCTGGATAAACAAGGCTTCTGTTGCTGACGTCTTTTTACTTAAATTGTAAAAGTTTCTGCAAGCTTGAAAACATAACCCTCACTCTCAAACTGGAGTGGACCGGTCTGGAAGCAGGAGGGGGCGGGGCTTGAAGCATCTTAAAGGAACAGTATAACCAGCTACTTTGAGATACACCTCCAGTAAAGGGCTGAAAGAGGAGCTGGTAAAGTTAAAATAAAAAGGAATTCAGACCAAAGCATTGTATTTTTACTTTAGGAAGACCCCAAATTAATGATTTAAATGTGTAAAAAGAAGGAATCCAAGGGGCAATATCATGTTAAAATCAACTTTTGAGTTTTATATCATGTTATAATGTTATACACTCATAAAAAATACTTGCCCAAAGCCTTGCTTTGACTCATTCGTGCATGTTTGAGAAATCCTGCAGCGTTTTTAGGAAGCCATGCTGAGGAGCAAAACGACAGGTGGGGACCAGAAATGCCTTTTGGGACCAGAAACGCCCCTGGGACGTGTCTCCAAGCCGAGTTTCCTCATCATGGAGCACACCACCCCGCCCATGACTCCTGCAGGCTCTCGGCAGTAACAGAGCAAACGAGTGAAAGTGAAAGTGAAACTTAAACTGTCTGCGGCTCTTAACACTACATCTCACTCAGTGAAGCTCTTTTAAGATTCAAAATCCCTTTGAGGAAATGTATTTTCAGATGCCAAGTAAACTGCATCATAGCGCACGCGCGAACCCCCCCCACACTGAAATGGACGGGACAGAAGCGGAAGGTGGTTCTTAAAGAGACAGAGGCCAGTTTCAAGGCGTTTATAAGAGGAAGTGATGAGAAGATAATTTTATTTTCTATTTAAACATAAAAACAGCATTTTAGTAAGAACTGAAGTTGACAGATACTTTATTATGGTATAGTATTTAAATGTATGCCTGAGAAACACATAATATTGCCCCTTTGAAAGAATATGTGTACTTTAACTCTGACTTGAGGCGAGCACCTTCATCTGTTTGTCAGATACCTAACAGATAAAGCATCCAGCCAGGGAGCAGCTATTTTGACAGAAGCAATATTAAGAATAATGGGAATGCTAGAAACAAGGCTATAGAGAGATTCTTTTCCCATTTGAACCAATAACTGCATCAGCTCACCGAACTCTTATTTCCCCTGGAGCACTGTGAGCAGAACAGATGAAACACTTATTCACTGGGGGGGGAAAAATCAAACACAGCCCAGTTATCATCATCTGCAAGTTTATTCATCTGTCAGAAAACACAAACATACACAGTCAGAAGTCAAAGCATCACTTGCCCAGGCATTCATCCAGTCAGTAAAATGAGTTTGTTCAGAGGCACTGAAAGTGTGCTGAGGTTTTTCCACAAAGACCAAAAGGAGAATCTTTACTTTTCTGCAGGGATGCTGCTAGAAAATCCAGAACCCCTGACAGTAAATGGAGGTGGGAGGTCCTGAATTCTGTCTGTGATTATAAAAGACAGATATACGTTTTAACATTGTTGCCTGTCTACCTTCATCTGAAGAATCCAACACTGCAGAAATTGGATAAATGCACAAAATTACAAATATAACACACATTTGTCATGGCTCCCTTTATTCCCCCCCCACTCCACAAAATTTCTAATTATAGAGGTATATGATATAGCAAAGTCTTCATTCAAACCTAAAAACGTGCTAAAATACTGTTCTTTATAAACACCAATGCCCTTTTTTACGATTCAGTGCAAAAATGTGATTTTGTCTCATTTTCTGGTGTCTTTAACCCCCCACTGGCAAACCCCTCTAAAATGATATTACATTTTTAAAATTATCTTTAAATTTATTCACATAAACTTTCATCTGAACATTCTTAAAAAGCATCCTTTTATTTTCTGTCTTCAACGTCTCAGTTATTAGACGCAACTTTGCTCGTGCACAAAATAAATTGTATACACATCCTTTGGTGCGATATGAAACACTGAGTTATAAAGGATGCTGCTGAAACACGTTGGCACCCAGATCACTGTAAATACATTAAGTATTCTGATATTATGGTTACTCACGTCTATACCTTATTCACTTCTACACGCTTTCATAAGAAAATAAATTTTAAAAAGGCCGTTAAATTTCAGTGTTAACCTTTGAAAATACAATTTTAAATGAACTATTTCAATTTTTTTAAACTATTAATTGAATTTTAGGGATAAGATAATTTCTCAAAATATATTGAATTTAAAAAGTTGTGCAATTTTGTGTTTATTCTGGTCTTTTTATTTTTTGTGTGTTTTCAAACATGACAGAAAAACATTTGATTTACACTCATTGTCTTTATATGAGCGCACACACACATAGCTTAGAGCAGGAGGTGGTCAATGGGGGGCCACCATCCTGCAAGTTTTAGAGGTTTCTCTGCTCCAACATGCCTGATATGAATGAATGAATGAATGAATGAATGAATGAATGAATGAATGAATGAATGAATGAATGGGTGATTAACAATGGAACTTGAAGAGGTCATTTAAACACTGAATCGGGAGTGTCGGAGCAGGAAAACAAGTAAAACCTGCAGGATCGTGGCCCTCGAGGACCAGGATTGCACACTCCTGGCTATAGAGGTAATATATAATGGAGCTCTTGAGACTAAAGGTCACACAAAATCATGTCTGTACTTTGATTCTGGTGAAATGTTTTCCCAAAGGAACAGTAGTTTGGTCTAAGTTCTCTCTTCATGGTTAAAGCCAGAAACAGAATTGTAAAAATCTGAATTATGAACCAAATTGCATCCAAATGTAATTTCTGCTCAGATTTGATTTATTTTTTCTTTAGGTCACTAGAGTGAAAATGGTTATGACAAAGCTAGATGTATGAAGTGGTCTGAGCGTTTTAGATTTCCTCAGACCAGGGCTATTCAACTGAAACGCTCCGGGGAGCCGGTGTTAAGACGGGGTTGTTCAGTGTTTGTTTTCGCACACACTTTTCAGCATAAACATTCCCGCGAACTTCTGACAAATAAGTTCTTGTGTGGAGGGGGGTAAAAAGCTTGGCCAGCGGGTTGCGACAAGAAGGTGCCGAAATGTTGACAATGCGAACAGAATGATGCAATTTTCATCATGAAGCTGCAAAAGTCTGATCTGATTCCGTCAGTTTGGATGCAGCGTGCTGCGCACTTTACTCGAAGCTCACAGCTCGAGGGCCTAAAGCCTACCCACCTCCACCCCCAGGGGTGTGTGTGTGTTATCTTTWCATTTTAACTTTACAAATGCTTTGAAATTTGTTTTATATTTAATTAAGTTAAAAAAGAGAGAGAAAAAAATTGTCATTGGCGGACCAGACATGGCCCGCAGACCACCAGTTGAATAGCCCTGCCCTTAAACCAAGCAAGTCATGCACTGTGTTCTCAGTTCTGATACAGACCAGAGTGTTTTTGGGGCCTTTAATAAATTGGATGTTAATGCAGATGCACTTTTTTTCCCCCTTTCGTACAACAAAGATTATTATTATTATTGTTATTATTATTATTATTATTATTATTAATAAAAATATTCTCATTAAGTACTGCAACAAGTGTTATCTTTCATTTCACCACTTAAAAGGTGGAAATGAAGTAGACTCATTGACACTTTGTTCAATGAACAGAACACAATATGATTTGTTACAACAAATGCCCATTTTAAGCTCCAACTTTACGCCGATAAATCTGGCAAAGAAATGTCAGTCTTTGGTTAAACTGCACACATCAGCAGTATGGCTATAACACGTGAGGATGGTGCTAGATAATTCATCTTTTAGTTTTCCAGTGTAGAGTGTTCAAAAATAATTGCAAGGATTTTCAGAGTGTTTTTCTCTCATTCCTCCCGTTCCTGTGCGATGGATTACTTCCTGAACCTGCTCAGGCTGCGCTGCTGGAGTGTAAAACTCGTTTTCAGTTCATAATTCTCTCCTTGCCATAAACCGTTATGCCACCAGTGCTTTCATGAAAGACAAAAGCACGTTATTTTTAGGATAAGGAGGAGTGTTTTTATAATGCTGCTACTCTAACTTTTTTTTAAAAGGTGACTAGCTGTGTCTCACCTTCTGCTTTTATTAACTTGTCATTGTTCCTTTTTGATCAAACTGCAGAGGTGTTCTTTCTGGATCCTTCTTTTGTTTCTGCCTCTTTCTCGTAGTTTTTAATCCCTCAAACCGTCCTCTCAGTATTCTCCTGAGTATCTTAAAAGTCAGGTGTGTGCTTGTGCTCTACAGACAAATAAAAGACCTGAACAGATGACTCCCTGCAGCAAACTCAATCTAGCCAACAGAAAGCCAGGACGCTGCCTTTCATTTAAACTTTGACGCTTTTATTTATGCAGACTTGTTTTTTTTTTAATGCATGTGCTTGTGAATGTGTCGTCTTTACTACTGAAGTGTAAAACAAATAAATCACAGATATTTAGATTGTTTTCACTCCAACAATATGTCTTTTGGCACTAATAAAATATCTTTAAATCTTTATTTTTGTCAATGTTTGTGTACCTGAAGTGATAAAATATGTACATTCTTCATACTGGACCGTAAATTAAAGGACAATTTTTATTTTAGTTTATAGTTTTAAACCACGGTGAACTCAAAACACTGACTCCGTTCTGTTCAGCTGAGCAGCTCGGAATTAGAACAGAAAATTAGATAAAGCAGAAAATTAAATTAGGTTCTAATTATATAACTGATCTGTTGTGCTAAACACAGAACATCAGCTGAACCTGGGTCAGATGAGAGCAACAGCCAAACAGATGGGTCTGCAGAGTCACTCACGTCCTTTTTTCCACTTTATCCTGCAATAAAAAGCTAAATATGTCCTCTCTGGGACGCAGCGTTGATTAGGAAATCCAAAGTGTTAAAMTAATAACCTCAACTATCCAGGAGCTTTGCAGTTTGTAAACTACTTTAAAGTTTGGTCTTTTGATTGTACACATTGTTGTGAGTAAATGCTTTATTTGTTTCTTTTTTAGTTATCTTTCTAAACAAAAGATTCGGCTTTTACTAGCGTTTAAAGTCGTTTCGCTTTAAAGACAGCCACTTCTGCCACGTACAGACAAAACGAGGGAGCTTTTAATTATATGGTGATCTTACCGGAGATACTTTAAAGTGCCCGTGACATCAAATTTTTGTTATAAATATGAATGCATTTTTGGAAAGATAAAATTAATGACATTTTGCGAAAAATAAAACTAAAAATCACTGCCAAGATGAACCATTWTGTTCCCATTTGTAGTAACRGGAAGTGACATCAAAGGGGAATATCTGAATGTAAATAGAGCATTGCTAAAATGGCTAACTGTAGAGTAGAATCTGATGTTTCTTTAGATTGTTTTTGAGTCTCTATCAGAGAGAGGAAGAAGAGTCACAGAGTTCAAATAATATTGAGTCAATAAACAAAGACCAGAGAGTTTTTCTTAAAGAGTTCCCCTTTGATGTCACTTCCTGTTTCACGCTGGCTGAGCAAAGTTCAAAGGAAAATGTGCCAGTTAGGTGACAAATTGGGATGCCAAGTTTCGTAAATATAAAGATTATTTATATATTACTTCTTATATTTGAGGGACATGCATGTCACAGGCACTTTAAAAGTGATTTGAAGGGCCTACAGTGAAAACTGGAAAAATACGAACAAAAAAAAAAAGAAATTCACTCAGTTTCCTGGTAATTAAACTGATAAGAGGCTACCAATAAACAAAGAATCAATAAGTTTTCTTGTYTAATATTCTATATTTACAAGTGTAATGTTATTAAGCATTATTTACATATGATAACGTAGCTTATAGGGAAAAAAATCCTACCACAGTACAGATTAGTTGCTACTGTAACGCCAAAATGGCTGACCAGAGTTTTGGCCTAATTTTGTCCAATTGCTTGAACAAGGTTCACCTGCGCCTAACATTTAGCCTGAAACACACTGAAGAACAGGTCAGAGGTCAGCCAAGGCTCACAGTTTCATTTAACACTGCTGTACAAGATAAAGTTTATTGTGCTTTGCGTTTATTACCTCTGTTATTTTATAAAGACACTGAATTTACTCCCTGTACCCTGTGTGGCTCTGCTGCTCTTGTAGCAGGACACGAAGTAAAAAAAAAAAGGTCCTCTATAAATTCTTGTTTTTCTATTAATTATTTATTTTCATGTTTCTATATTTTCTCTTCAGCTCTGTCTGCAGAATCCCTTTCTCCCTGATCCACTTCCTCATTTTGTCCAAACAAGCTGACGATTTCTTTGCATCCCATTTGCATTCACTTGTAACCTGAGTCAGAGTGAAACCTGCACGATTAGAATGAGAGTAAATCAGAAAACATCTGTTTTTATTCAGTACCAAAAATCTTTTTTCTACCCATATATTAAAAGTCTTTTATTTTATTTTCCTGTATGTTGCACTCTGACTCGTAACACAGACTCAGCTCTAATAGCTTCCTATGGTAGAACAGATTTAATAGGCAGAGCTGAAGTGTCCATAAAGAGCAACTGGCTCAAAAGATGTGCTGTAGAAGGAGATAGAGCTGCACTTACCGGACAACCTGCTCTACCATTTGAGCTACACAGAGTATGCTTCTGTCTGGATTTGATGTTTCATCTATAAATTATATAAACTGTAAGAAGACTTGGCGGCTGTTTGAGGGGGGTGTAATAGCTTTCTCTTTAAAAAGCTCTGCAAATAAAAGGCTTTTTTTTTTTTTTACATCCACCGCCCCTGGTGCTTACCCTCRCCATCTATTCCCTCCTCCCCCTCTTAGCTGTAGCCGAGGTTCTCCATCTCGTGGCGGTACCTCAGCTCCGACACTTTGGCTTTGTGCTGCTTGCTCTCCAGATGCTGCCTGAAGTCCGTCTCTTGCTCGGCGCCGCAGTTGCACATGGAGCAGTAGAACTGTCCGCTGGGAGTGACACACATGGCTAAGTCCCTGGGGATGCGCTGCCTCGGTCTGGGGTTGTAGTACGGCCCTGGGATGAGCAAAAAGAGCAGGGGGGATGGGTCAGTGGCAGTGATGGTTCACTTGATAAAGGAGGGACAAAATAAACATTTAATGTTTTAATCTGTGTTTCATTTTTGTGATAAAATTCCAACCTGAATGTTTCCATTTAGTCATCAGTTCTTTCTTAAATGAAATATTTTTAACAGACTTTTAAATTTAGCTGAATTTCAGAAATGAAACTATTGAATTAAAACCAGTTTGCAAAATATTTTCTCTATTAACTAAATGAGAAGGTATGGGGCACCAAGTGTAAAATTAATTGTCAAAAAATGTCACTAACATATTTTTCATTATTTATCTCACTGTTCTTACATTTTACTAAATGTTAAATTTAAATGTTTAAAAATATATTCAAATATTAAATCCTAAATCTAAATGTAAAAGTTAAACCTTAAATGTTGGGAGTTAAGATGATTTTTAGATTTTAAGTATTATCTTTAGCAGTGTTAGAAGCGTTAGCAGAAGTTAGTGTCAGATCACTGATGTCATCATCCTGCGACAAACATCAACATTGACCGTTGCTAGCCGCAGCTGAAAATGATTAAAATCCAAATTCAAAATGTGTTCATAAAAACCATTATGGGTGGTATCTGTACACTGACTGCAACTGCAAGTTTGATGTCTTGTAGGGAAGCTTTAGCTGCATTGTAGCACTAGYGGTTGCTCTTGTCTCAGGATGATGACATCATAACATGAGCTGAGCACCAACAGCAAAGGCCACGTTCCATTCCAGAATACCTAAATGTCAACTTCAACATTGAAGATTTAACTTTTACGTTTAGATTTAGGATTAAATATTTTCATTTATTTTTTAACATTAAAATTTAACAGTACAAATTACCTAAAAGTAAGAATGGTGAGCTAAATAATAAAATGTTAGAGGAAAAATTTTGGACACTCAAAAAGTGAGTTAAATAATAAAAAATATGTTAGTGAAAATTTCATTTCATTTTACAGTTGGTGCTCTTGGTGCAAACTTTTCCAAAACAGCCATTGCAGACTTCTCTTGCTGGTTTTTAGATACAGTTTTTAAAAATGTTGCACATTGGCTTGGTAGTTATTACTGTGTTTTACATTAAAGTTTTTCTGCTAGAGATGAAGCCCTTTTGTGTAAATGCTGCAGACCTTATATAATGTGCAAAAGGAGAATCCAATAAAGGAAAAAAATATGCTCTTGAAAAAGGTTTTAAATATCCCTAACGTGTCTGAATGAGTCACCTAATCTTTATCTGAAATAATGACCCATAAGAACGTACAAAAAGAGAAGCTCAAAGGCATAGATTACATTAAGATGAAACAAAGGACACAAATTTGTTTGTTTAATTTGTGTACAAACTGCAGAAGGACGATAAATAGGAAGAGACTAAAAAAAGAAGTCAGCAACAAAGTGACCGCAGGCTATTTTAGGACTTATCCATCAAAAAAAAAAAAAAAAAAAAAAAAAAAAAAAAAAACTGATGACATGAGCAGAAAGTTGTGGTGAGAAAGAGGAGCTGAAAGAGACAGGAAGGGTAATTTGCTTTTTAGTGGGATTTTTTTTTCACATCTTGATTTATTCCTTTTCGTTTTTTGTGGATTTTTTTTAAAAGATTTTGTTTGTGAAAAGATGTAACAGATAAGAAGGGGACTGCTGACATCAACAGTCTGACATTACTGTATCTGTTTTCACACACAGGTTTGTATTTCTAACCTTATTAGGACCATTCATTGACTTCCATTCATTTCCATTTGTTTCTACAGCCCAACACTGACCCTTTACCCCAAACTTAACCCTCATCCCAAAAATGGAGTTCCACCATGACCACCAAGAACTATTGGTCTTGACGAGTTAGGTGTGTACATCAGAAAGCAGACACTCAAAAATGAACATCAACAACATCAATGAACCTTTTTCAAATAGTCATTACTGAAAGCTCCAGAAATTTTACGTATTCATTTATTTTTTGTGCTGAGACGACGTTTCATTTAAATTATACACRCTTGTGTTTTTATGACACTGTTAAAAAAATTTTTTTTGAACACCAAATTTCGACATTCTTTAGCTGTATCAAGTGTTTAATGTTGTCTTGGACTAAAATGTAATTTCATTTTATAAAAGGACATTGGCACATTAAAGCAGGAGCAGTGTTGTTTTTTTCCCCTGCACTCAAGGTTAAAACTATGCAAGCTGGGACAGCTTTCTTTGCTGATCTGGACAGAAAAATACCCTTCTCTTATGTACGCAGATAAAGGACATTATGTTTTATAAACTGACTGCATTTAATGCAAATAAATGTGTCCCAAAAGCTGCAGAGTGTCAAATGAAGCTAATTTTTTTAAAATAACCATCTCAAAAATGCATTTTCCTTCAGGAATACAAAAATAATTGATGGACAAGATATATTGATTATGTTCTAAAACAAAACAGCTATATTATCACAAAACAAAATATRTCGACCTGCTAACTATGGGGTGTAAAATGAAATGTTAACTAACATTTTTCAGTATTTAGCTCACTTTTTGAGTGTTAAGAATTTTCAACTAACATTTTATTGTTATTTAGCTCACTGTTCTTACATTATTTCATTTTTACTAACTGTTAAATTTAAATGTTAAAAATATATTTAAATATTAAATCATAAATCTAAATGTAAAAGTTAAACCTTCAATGTTGAAGTTCACATTTAGGTATTTTTGGAATGGAATGCAGCCTTTGCTGTTGGTGCTCCATGTTATGATGTCATCATCCTGGGACAATAACAACCGCTAGCGCTCCAATGCAGCTAAAGCTTCCCCACAAGACATCAAACTTGCAGTTATGGCTGGTGTCTGAGCTGCACTTCAAACTGCTGGACCACAGGTACCACCCATATTGTTTTTCATTAACATATTTTGAATTTAGTTGTTAAATATTATCTTCAGCAGCATTAGCAGCGGCCATTGTTGATGTTTGTTGCAGGATTATGACACCAACCCATCAACAATGTTTCTGATGCTAACTTCTGCTAATGCTTCTAACACTGCTGGCTTATTGTCTCAGGTTTTACCTGGCATAGCAGCAGGCAGCTGAGGGCTGCGACGGTTTTTCACCAGTCGATATTCACTGCCGTCTTTCCGATTTTTTCTAGGTGCTGCCTCGTTGCTGCCTTCTCTACAGAAGAAGACAAAAACATTTAAAAACTAAATGTATATTCTTAAAAAAAAGAAAGAAAGAAACACATGTTAAAGGTGCTTTTTTGGCTTTAAAAAAAGGTGTTTTTTGGTACCAATGAAAAATGATTAGAGGGTAAAACCATGGAGCTGCTAAAGGACAAACCTCAACAATCACTAACGACTCAGCTAATGTGAATAAGGATAAAGCCTGCAGCCAATACAGAAARTATTTCTTGACCCAGACCCACATGTTACTGGAGTTCTGTTGGGCCTCGGCCAGGCGCAGCTTCTTGGCATGGTTCTTGCCCTGGTAGTGAGCCTGTGCAACTGCTAGTGAGCTGAAGGAGGCATCGCACAGTTTACAATAGTCGTTCTCTGTGGCCAGGATGACCCGAGGTGCCCCCTTGAACAGGGCCTGCACAAAGCAAGACAAAGCGGCTCAGTGTTCGTGATGAGAAAAGTTACGGGAATAAACACTGACAAAGAGGAGAACAAAGAGAAGAACACAGTTCAGTTTTTTTACGTTTAAAGGCTTWTTTGAGGATGGAAGCTTCCAAGTATACTGTAGCATTTTTACCCAAGGCTTTGCAATGTGTCAACATAAACAGATATCTTATTTATCTCAACATCAATGCTATATAAAAAGGTAAACTATTCAGCCCTGGGAGAACGGCAGGTTGTGTGWGTAAATTGCAGAGTGTCGTTTTCATCAACCTCCTCAGAGGAAACGGATTCTATCAGCAGAGTTGCCACTTCAGCAGCAACCAACCCTCCTCCCTCAAATTAAACATTTACCGTAGGTAAGTTAGAGCTGAAGTGTGGCCTGACCTGCCTGCCTGCGTCACCGTCTGTAGATCCTGACCCCACGGTTTGACCGGACCCCTCCAGGACTTCTGGGATCCTGATGGCCGGTGGTTGTTGGCTTCCGGCGTAGAAATTTCTTAATTTTTTACTGTGGTTTTTTCCCTTAGTAAAAAAAAAAAAAAAAATTAAGTGTTTATATTTTGAAGTGTTTTTTTATGGGATTAATC